CTAAACTAATTGTGGTAATCATTTCACTATATATATGTATATATACATATGTATGTGGAATCTTAAAAAATAAATTAAAATAGATGTTGAATATGCGGTTACTGGAGGTGGGTAAATTTGATGTACATATGTGTATATATATATATATACACACACCAAATCATTATGCTGACACAGGAAACACTTGACAATGTTATATGTCAATTATATCTCAATAAAACTGGTGGGGAAAGATTAAAGAAACTGGATTTTTTATTTCATTATCAATGACTAACTTTCGAGTGATAAAACTAGTCTGACAAAATGAACTGAGAGGTGTTCTCTCTTTTTCATTTCTCTGAAATATTTTAAGATTGTTGTAATGTTTGGAAGAATCACCAGTGATGCTGTCTGTACCTTTCTAATTCATGCTTTTAATTCTATAACATTTCTTCTAAGTACAACGATAGCTGAACCTTACCAAACTAGATGTTGAGATTTCCTTTTGTCAGTCAGTTAAAAATAGGGCATAAATTCAAAGGACATCTGTATGATTCCACATACATGACACATTTAAAGGAGAGACAAAAAGTAGAATGGTGGTTATCAGGGGACTGGTAAGAAGGTGAAAGGGGGAAGTGTTTAATGGGTTTAGAATTTTAGATTTGCAAGATGAAAAAGATCTGAAGATCTGTTTCACAACAATGTGTATAAACTATACACCTTAAAAAAATACATGGGATGTAAATGCCTTTGTAATTTCTTCATTGACTATGGGTTATTTAAAATTGTATTCCTTAGTTTCCAATTAGAAGATCTGGGCATTTTCTAATTGCTTCATTGTTATTGATGAAGTTCCCCAAGTCAGAAAGGACTCTCCATTTAAGGGTTGACTTGGGTAACCTGCAGCTATCAAGCAATGTCTCACTTATGAGACTTTCTATAATAAGCCACACTTATGAGGAGGTGAGACACATGAGGGCAGAGAGCATGGCAGACAGACAGAGCCATCAGGAAACTCCTCACCCTAGATGCTGTGCCTCAGAGCCAATCTTGCCAATATCTCCCAAGCTTAGCATGAGCTTCTTTAAGGAGGTGTCTGCTTATATTTTAGCTTCCTGCACCAGGCTGACATCCCTGATGGTAACAAACACTGGGCTGTTACCAGGGTAATTATTCCCTTCAGTGTCACCACAGAATAGGCTTGGCTGAGTCATGAAGTCTGTATTTAATGCCTAGCAAGTCTTTCCAACAGCTACCAGTTTAACTCAGTCACCACTTTCACTTACCTATACTATTTCAATAGCTTCCAACCTGACCTCTCTCCTCAGCTCCCTGCCACTTTCCCAACTATGTTGCCACACTGCAGCAGTCATATCATTCAGCTGAATTTTTAAATGAAGACTAGGTTTTAACACGTTTTCAATGATGTATTACTTTCTTATTGCTGCTGTAATAACATATCACAAACTTGATAGTTTAACACAACACACATTTATTCTCTTATAGTTCTGGAGGTCAGAAGTCCAAAAATTGTTTCATTGGTGTAAAGTCAAGGCATCAGCAGGCTTATTCCTTCTGGAGACTCTGCGGGAAGTATTATTGCCCTTTTTCAACTAATAGTGGCTGCCTGTAGTCTTTGGTTTGTGATTCTTCCTCCTTCTTCGAAGCCAGAAGCATAGCATCTTTAAGTTGCTCTTAGCTTCCATAGTCTTCTCTCTTTTTATTGTGAAATCTCCCTCTTCATCCATCCTGTGATTCAATGTAGAGATAACCCAAGGTCATCTCCTCATTTCAAAATCCTAATCTTAACTGGCATCCTGCCATATGTAGCTGCTGTAACAAAGTGCTAAGATGGGCTGGCTTAAAGGATAGAAATTTACTGTCTCAGTTTTGAAGACTAGCAATCTAAAATCAAGGTGTCTGATGGTCATGAGGAAGAATCTGTTTCAGGTTCACCCTTAACTTCAGTCATTCCCTGGCTTTTACATGGTGTTCTCCCTGTGTCTCTTCACAGCGTTTCCCATCTATGTTTGTGTATCTCTATATTTAAATTTCACTTTTTGATAAGGACATCAGTCATATGAGATTAGGGGTCACTCTTATCACCTTATCTTAACTTGATCATCTACAAAGACCATGATTCCAAATAATGTCACAGTCACAAGTATTGTGGAACTTTAACATATCTATAGTGAGGAAAACAATTCAACCCATAGCACCACATAAGGTAGCATTCATGGATTTTGATGATTAGCATATGGTTTATCTCTGGGGACATTACTCAGCTTAGCACAGTGAGTACCATTGTCAGTAGCATGAACTCTAAATCCCTCAACATCATCTGACATTCCACAAGCCCTGCCTCATCAAGCTTCTGCCAGATACTCCAGACACCCTGCCACTCAACTGGGGATAAACTTTCAGAAAATGAAGAAAGCTACACCAACTTGCTCTCACTTTCTCTAAGCTCCTTTCTACTTCAGGGTCTTAATCACACAATTCTAACCTCTAGAAGCCATCACACACTTCCATATACCTTCTAAACAAATATTAGGTCTCTCTCTACAAATTGCTTCACAAGGAAAGACCTTTTTTCCTAATGCTCAGAACAAAGAGAGTTTAAGAGTAATCCCCAGGATGTAAAGTACATGGTGAATGTTGTTAATATTTCATCGTATACTTGACAGTTGCTAAGAGTATAGAGCTTAAATAGTCTCAACCCATCCCCCCAAAAAAGAAAGGTTAATGAGAACATATTGTAAACTTTTCTGGAAACAACTCCACCCCCAGCACACTCTCCATCCTCTAAGCAGGAACCTGCTGCTTGAAGTTAGTCTTTTTATATCAACTAATGACCAAAGAACCAGATAAAGAAGATTAAACAAGAGGTACCCCACCTTTGCATCCTGCAGTGCAGTCTATAAGAAGGAAAGAAATGCTGCACTGCCTTCCTCTTGTACTAGCATATCTTTAATTTGGGACAACTTAGAACTAGAAGCCCCTTTCTGTCAAGAATTTACATTCTTTTATTTTCCACATTACTGTCATCACAATCCTGATGAGCATGCGTCTTCTGTTAGAGATGTGACTACATTAGTAATGTGTTTAAGTGAGAGTACAACTTTCTGATTAGGAGTTTATCATCCCAAATGCAACATTGAATGAGAAAAGGGAGATTAGAGATACACAAACATAGGCCAGCCCATTAGAATAATTGTTCAAAACCCCCTAGATTTTTCAAGTGCAGGATAAGACTGGAACTATGTTCCATGTAACTTTCGCCTCAACCACAGACTTCTCCAAGTCCCTTGAAAATCAACTACAGGCACATGTACAGCCACCTCCATATTATGTCTTCCTTATCTCATAGTTGTGATCCTAGAAACACCACTAAGACTCTAAAAGACAGCCAGAAAGGTGTAAGTAATATCTACAAGTCTGCTATAAAGCTCATAATTATAACATTTGCTTCCCTCAAATATGAACCATTCAGATTATCATTATACTTCAGATTTTTTGTTTTAAACAAATTCCTGAAAGTGAATGATTCTATCAAAGCTTTACCTTATTATTTTGTTCTTTGCTTTCTTGAGTGGAAATACAGAGAAATAGGCACAGGGGAAGTTTTTGCTACATTCCACGTAACTCTTCCCACATATCCTTTCTTTCTCAAAGACCCTACTCATTTCCACACTAATCCAGAGCTATAGGGCTGCACGAGAACTCAAAGCAACACTCCTTCAACTATAAGAACTCCTTGGCCCAACTCCCTTCTTTTCAGTTCTCATCATTTCTTTGTACTTCTCTCCCTAGTCAGGCATGAAATGTCAGGCAGAGCAAAACTTACAGTAGCAGAAAATTTCCAGATGAAGGTCTCTGGACATGGAACTCCAAGAAGAGAGTTTCCTGGGGCTGCCCCATGGGTCAGAAAGGAGATGGACATCTGAGAATTATCTTAGTAGACATTGCAGAGAGGTTGGGCACTCAGGTTGCTCTCTGAGCTCCTGCTGTACACACCTTCTTAACCTTTGCCTTGCCCAGCCAGTGCTTGGTACTACCTTCTGGTTCCCAGAGCCAAACTGTGAGGCCCATCCATGCTTGCTCCTCAAGCTTATGCCCAACTCTCAATCTCCTTCCCAACTCAGATTACCCATCCTGTGTGGAGCAGAGCAGCCAAGTGGCTTTAGTCAAGAAGTGATGCCCTATGCCCACCAGACAGCTTTCCTCATTGACACCTCCTGTCCAGTCATTTGAGTTTGCAATCCATAAATTAAACCTGTCTTAAGAGTCTCCATGATGCCATTTCTGACCTCTCCTGACACCAGCCATGCAGAGAGTGACCTCTCCCTTCTCAGTGCCCTTGAGTGCATGTACCTGACCATACTTGTCAAACTCTAACTTACCATCATTCCTGAGTTTCCATATCTCACAGATTAGGTTTCCTGAGAAGCCTAATTCAGGAGACTAACCAGGCTTTGCCTGCAGGAGATTGAGTAGCAAATGTTCTCAGAATCAAAACCTATTGCAGGGGAAGGGAGTGAAGGAAGTAAAATTTTACACAAGGAGAGGTTGTCTGTGAGGCCTTATAATCCTATAGGGAATTATGAAGTTGAGATGGCCCTTTGGGGTTAAACTGAGGCAACTACACTGGGCCTTTATACTCTGATCAGCCATGGGTTTTAGGCAGCTCTCATGGAGAAGCACGACTTGGGCAAAATGTTTTCCTCAGCACAGAGGGTGACACAGCTAAGAGCTGTTATCTGCGGACTCTCTCAGCAGCTATGGAATGAAAGCTCTGTATCTTTTATTCTTTGAAATCCCAGAGGCCCAGCCTTCCTTCCTTGTTGCCCACACCTAGTATGGACATAATAAAACTAACATCTTAACACAATTAACTCTAGTCAGAGAATTCCTTTATTTTCAACAGGACACATGTGCCTCTCATCCAATCAGCTTACAGTTGGCTACTCCCAGGCACTTTGGTCCCAGAGTTTATATCTACAGGTGCCAGTTCCAACCTAACCCTGCCCTCCACCACAAGAACACCTCCCCAGGAGCTTCCTAAGAGCCCCAGTCACTTCCTTGTTCCTCAGACTATAGATGAGTGGGTTGAGCATAGGGGTGATCATGGTATAGAAGGCTGAGACCACTTTGTCCTGCTTGGAGGAGTGGTAGGCCTGGGGCCTCATGTAGGTGATCATGGCAGCCCCATAGAAGAGGGAGACCACTGCCATGTGTGAGGAGCAGGTAGCAAAGGCCTTCTGCCTGCCTTCAGCAGAACGCATGCGGAGCACAGCTACCAGGATCCTCAGGTAGGAGGCGGAGATGACAGAGAAGGGCAGGAGCAGCATGAGGACACAGCAGACATAGATCATGGTCTCATAGAGAGAGGTATCAGCACAGGCCAGCTTGAGTACAGCAGGGACCTCACAGAAGAAGTGATCGATCTCCTGGGAGCCACAGTAGGGGAAGCGCAGGGTGAAGACTGCCTGGATCAGTCCGTCCACCAGGCCAAATAGCCAGGACCCTGCCACCATGAGCCAGCAGACACGGCGACTCATGACCACTGAGTATCTCAGTGGATTGCTGATGGCCACATAACGGTCATAAGCCATGAAAGCCAGCAAGAAACACTCATCTCCCAGGAGGGTGAGAAAGAAGAGGATCTGAAGCCCACAGCCAGTGAAAGAAATGGAACCACTGCCCAGAAGGAAGTCGACAGCCATCCGTGGCACAATGGTGGAGATGAGCATGAGATCCATGAGGGACAGCCAGCTGAGGAAGAAGTACATAGGGCTGTGCAGGCGCGAGTCCACATTGATGAGAAGGATCATGAGCCCATTGCCAGAGAGGGCCACCAGAAACATGACCATGATGATGGAGAAGAGGAAGAGATGCAGCGGCGAGTATGTGAAGAGGCCCAGAAGAATAAAGTGGGAGATGAGCGTCTGGTTTCCCACCCAGGCCATTGTTCCTGCAGAGGGATGCACTGGAGGGAGGGTTGGGATCTGGAAGCAGGAGGTTTATGGTTAGTACCACAATACTGAAGGTACTACAACTTTGCCCAATGTGTTGCTCTCTTTAAATGTTACTTGGTTTAAATAAAAGTCTTGACTTCTTTAAGAAAAAAAAAATCTCGACCAAAAATGGAGGCGGTTGTTGTTTTAACTGATAGGATTTCCTGCTCACAGTTGAGAAGGAAATTTTAAACTACTTATTGTTAAAGTAGGCACTGCTTCTGTCTCTGCTAAAAATTGGTCTGTTTTCCAGCCCTCATAGTTGATTCTCCTGCAAAGTTCTAGGCCAACTGCACTACACTCAACGTTTTGCTTTTAAGGAAAAAGTACTGAGCAAAAGCAAGGTTTTGCTTTTAAAGGGAAAAAAAACAGAAAAAACATTTACCAACTGCGTGAACAAGGCACTGAACTTAACTTTCCAAACTTCAGTTTCCTTATATTAAATTAGGATAACAGGGCCTCCCCGATGGTGCAGCAGGTTGAGCACCGCGCTATGAAGCTGTCCGCAGCCTCTGCAGTGTGGGTTTGATTCCTGGCCAGCCAGAGAGATGCCCACATGGCACAGCAGACCTCTCCTGCCTTGCCTGCTGCTCCCCGCAGCAGTGTCTTCAGTCCGTCTGCCTGTTCTTCTCCCCGCTCTGTCTCTGGTGAATTCTCTCACCCTCCTGCACCTCTGGCCTGTACCCCAGTTCTTGTATAAATAAATCAATATTTTTAAAAAGGAGCAAAACATTATTTAAAAAAATAAAATAAATTAGGATAACAATGCTTTCTTGTGGGGTGATGGTGAAGATGGAAGCTTATAGTAAATAATGCCTAGTAGTTTAGAAATGGTGAAAGCTGACATTGTTAGATCATTTCTCCTATGTCAGATACTGCAATTAGGCAATGTTGCATCTTTGCATTTAATAATCAGAACTGCCTGGAAAGGTTGATCATTATTTTCATTTCACAAGTGGGGAAAGTGAAACAAAGTTAGGTTAACTTATTTTCTTTTCTTTTTAGATATAAAGCATTAAGATTTTTTGTTTTGTTTTGTTTTGTTGGTTTTTTTGGTTTGGTTTTGTTTGTTTGTTTGTTTGTTGTTTGTTTGTTTGTTGCTGTTTTTTTTTTTTTTTGGTGGGACCCTCGCTGGCGGCCAGGGAACGAACCGGTGCTGCAGAGGCTGCGGGCAGCCTCGCAGCCCAGCGCTCAACCGCTGTGCCACCAGGGGAGGCCCTAAAGCATTAAGTATTCTTAAGAAACTTAGTAAATAAGAAATTGGAGACAATCCAAGTGCCAATATAAAGGAATATTTAAAGTATGGCGCATTCACATAATATATAATAAAAGGGGTTTATGGCATTTTAATAAAGAGATAACATATGTGTATATATAGTGTATATACTATATAATTGTTATTTTTTAAGTATTTCTAATAAGTAGGAGAAAATAATGCCAAGATATTAACAGAGTGGTTCCTTCTGTATAGTATATATAAATTTTCTGTAAGAAATGTGGCAATGCAACAATGTTTAAAGCAAATGAGTATATATGTATGTGTGTGTGTGTGTGCATGCAATTACATATTGTATAAATAGGATCAGTACCCAAATCAGTTTTCTCATACAATACCACTAGCCAATTAGGAAATGTAGTAGGAAAAAAAAAATCTTATTCTCAGTTGCAACAAAAACTAAAGAACCTAAGCCTTCATGCTTAAAATTATAAAACATTACTGAAAAGCATGAAAGGCCTAAAGGGAGCTATGCATATTCTTGGGTAAATAAGCTCAACATTGTGAGGATGTACATTCTCCATAAATTAATCAAAAAAATCCATGTGATCCCAACTAAAATCCTAATAGGACAATTAATACTTTGGAAATGACACTGACACCTAATGACTTTTCTCAGAAGTCACCCAGAAGTAGTGAGGTCAAAGCAGAAGCAGAAGTCCATATTGGACAAAATTGGAGTGGCTGAAGTTGAAACACAAAATAAAATTGGAAGAGATACAAATTTTATTGGATTTTTTAAGCAGTAGAAACTGAGCAGATATGAAGGAGAATGTGAAAAAGAGACACCTGTAAGCACAGACCACAGTGCCCTCTCCAAAGAGGGGCAAAACCAAGATTACTAGTTTGTAACAGTGGAAGCAAGGAACCGGTTCAAGGAATCTCTCAAGACCCATTTATTCCAAAAGCAGAGAAGCAGTTGAACAAAGAGCCACATAGCAAGCTATGTTTCCAGGAAGAACTCTGACTTGGTAGCAGGACAGAAGAGGATTGTCCTTAAGAATAGCCCTACAAAATGTTTGTACACTGTTGATGGAAAACAATATGAAAAACAGAATGGAAAGTTCTCAAAAAAATTAACCATAGAAATAGCTTATGATCTAGCTACCCTACTTTTTGGTCCTTACCCAAAGAATACAAAAAACACATACTTAAAAAGAGATATGTACCCCCCTGTTTATCATAGCATACTCCACAATAGTCAACCGCTAGAAATAACCTAAGTGACCATTGACAGATCATTGGATAAAGATGTAGTATTTATACACAATGGAATACTACTCAGCTACAAAAAAAAAAAAGATGAAATCCTTCCATTTGCAACAATATGGATGGAACTTAAGGGTATTAAGCTTGAATAGAATCATGTGGAGAAAGGTAAAATACCATATGACTTCACTCATGTGATAGACAAAGAAGCAAAACAAATTAATGAGCAAAAGAATAAAGAAAAAACTCTTAGACAAAAGCAAAATAGTAGTTACCAGAAAGGAAGGGGGAAAAGGGGCATGTATAAGCCAGGTAATAGGGGTCAATTGTATAATGGTGTAAAGAAACTAGACTTCTGAATGCAAACATAGTGTAGCATATACAGGTGTTGCTTTATAAGGCTGTGCACCTGAAATCTATATAATATAAACAAATGTTACTTGAATTAACCCTAAAGTTGTCTGCCTTAGGACCCTGAGGATAACTAAAAGTTATCATCAACACCCAGGATCTCAAGAACCATGATATATAAAAAACTCTACTTCTAAGTTAAAAGTGACTCAACATATCCAGTCATTATTCCCGCCAAAAATTCTACTAGAATGGGATGAAACATAGATACATTGAGAATAAGAGAACAACAACAAAACTATTTGGGGAGGGGTACTCAGAAGCAGATGGGGAGCTGGTAACCAACTTGCAGACCCAAGAAAGCTGATGTATTACCCCAGTCAGGGGGAGAACAAGATCCAAAATGGACATAAAATTTGAAAGTCAGCTGAAGAAGTAGAGTTCACACCCAACCTCACAAACCTGGGCCCTGTCCCTCCCTCAGCCTGGAAGAAAGTAGGACACTGATTTTTCAGAACTGAAGCTACCAGGGAGACCCAGAGGAGGTGAGGGTGCTGTGAGCACAGGGCACACGTGAAGAAAGTAGAGTAACTGGCCTCAACTCCCATTCAACTCTTAGGACCCGGATTTACTCACTTTAGGCAGGAAAATAGATAAATCCCTCTGCCCCAATCCAGGAATCTTGACTGGCCCAGGAAATATCTAAAGATAATGATGTTGGAAGTTAAAAAAAAAAGTGAAGCCACAGTGGCCATGTCCCCACCCACATACACAGAGTGCCCAATTTATTGCCCCCACACTTTAATATGAGAGTCAACACATACCTAAAAAAAAAAGTTCCATGCTCAAAGAAGGGAAGGAAAACAAATAAAGCAATATGAATGAAGAAAGGAAACAAAAATCTTTCAAAATTCATAAAATTAACAGGGAATGAAATGAGGATGGGTATTATAAACATGAAACAAGAATAAGATACTACACTACAAACAAGGAAAATTCAAAGTAAAAGGAGTAAAAGTACTTTTCGACAAAGTCATTCTACTTACAGAAATTCATATTACAGAAATATTTGCACATATATGAAATGACACCTAGACAAGGTGGTTAGATGTGGATTTGTTGACAACAGAAAAAAGTTTGCAAGCAATCTATCCACCAATAGAGGAAAGATTGAATAAACAATGGAATAATATGCAAATAAGCAAAACAAGGTTGATTTTTATGCATTGATATAGAATTCTTTACAATTGTCCGGTGGAAAAAAAATCACTGTTCAAACCACAATGAGATGCCATCTTAAACCAGTAAGAATGACGCATAACAAAAAAACTAGCAACAACAAATGCTGGCGAGGATGTGGTGAAAAAGGAACTCTCCTACACTGCTAGTGGGAATGAAAACTGGTCCAACCACCATGGAAAGTATGGAGGTTCCTCAAACTACTAAAAATGGGGCTACCACATAACCCAGCAATTCCACTGCTAGGTATATAACCAAAGGTCACAAAAACATTGATTCAAAAGAACACCTGTACCCCTATGTTTATTGCAGCACTATTTATAATAGGTAAAACCTGGAAACAATACAAATGCCCAAAAATAGATGACTGGATCAAGAAGATGTCATATATATATATATACAATTGAATACTATTCAGCAATCAAAAAAGATAAACTCATGCCATTCGCAGCAACATGGATGGAGCTAGAAGGAATTATGTTCAGTGAAATAAGTCAGAAGGAAAAAGAAAAATATCAGATGGTTTCACTTTTAAGAGGAATATAGGGGAAACAAATAAGGCATCAGGGGAAAAAATAAAATAACAATAAAAAACACAACAAAACAAAACAAAAAGAAACACAACTATAAACCAGAGCCATTCTGCAGGGGAGGGTGAAGAAGAGGAATCGAGGGACAGAAGAACACAGGGGACTGTGGTGATGGTGCATAGGTGAACTGGTGGTGGAAATTCTATGGGGACTGCAACTGAGAAAAGAAAGCAAACATTGTTTAAAAATGAACAATAATGTAAAATATATATAAATTAAAAATAATAAAATTTTTAAAAATTTTAAAAAGCACTGTTCAGAGCAACACATATAGTATAATTAATACA